TGTGCCACAGTTTGTATGTCGCGTGCTAGATTTGTTAATTTATAGAGCCTGGGTTCGAAACCTGATGTTTACATTTATTCTTGTGTGCCATTATGTATTAAGTTGTGTTCCTGCTATTAATTTGTTGTGTGCCCATTATTTGTCCTCACAGTCCTCTATATATTGTTGTCCTCATTTGAACTCAACCCTATATATATATATATATATATATATATATATATATATATATATATATATATATATATATATATATATATATATATATATATATATATATATATATATATATATATATATATATATATATATATATATATATCGGATATATATTCAATAATATTTTATATATTTTCGTGTGTATATATAAATATTATTTTGGGATATTAAATCAATCGTTATACCCTACACCACGGCGCACATAACACTGTGCGCTGCGCGTCTCCCAAAACGACGTCGTTTTGGGGTCGTTTTGGGAGGCGCGGTAGGAAGTTGCTAGGATTATGTGTATCTGTTCACACAGTTATGTGTATTTGTTCATACAATTATGTGTATTGGTTCATACAGTTATGTACATTTTTTATACAATTATGTACATTCTTTTTATACAATTATGTACATCCGAATCAGAAAATTTGTGTGTATTATGTTAATAGTTGATGTGTATTATGTTAAAAGTTTATGTTTATTATGTATTATGTTAGATTATGTGTATTATCTTTTAAAAAGAGTATGTATATTTTGTTATATAATTATGTACATTCATGTATACAATTATGTGTATTCTAGTATAACATTATGTACATTCTTGAACAGCGGGGTTTTTTTTTAAAGAAAAAACTACTGCCATTCACTGGGGCGGAAAATTTCAAAAAAATTAAAAATTAAAACGACGTCGTTTTGCATCTGGGCGCATAGTGCAACGCGCGCCGTGGTGTAGGATATAAATTGCTATATTAAATCGATTTGGTTCATTATTCCCAACAATTACATATCATCCGATCAATCTTTTGAAGAGCGGTTGTCCACAACTCATCCTAAATCCAAAGCAAGGATATGCAGACGTTATGCCATGGAACCGTGTTCACCATTCATGGTGAACACGGTTCCAACGGTGTTAATACACCGTTATCTTTTTTTTTTTTTTTTTTTCTTAATTAATTGCGTGACTTTTCTTCTTTATTTTCACATTTTGCGGTTTCACTTTAATTTGAGGTGAACAAAGATTTCGGACATTCATAAATTATGAATTCATGCCTGCACATTCACTTTGGAACCATGCCTACACATTCCCGTCCGAAATCACGGACATTCATAAATTATGAATCCATGCCTGCACATTCACTTTGGAACCATGCCTACACATTCACTTTGGAACCATGCCTACACATTCACTTTGGAACCATGAGATTATGAATTTTCTGTTATAAGATTATGAATTTTCAGTTATGAGATTATGAATTTTCATATATGAGATTATGAATTTTCATTACATTCATAATTTCGGACATTCATAAATTATGAATTCATGCCTGCACATTCACTTTGGAACCATGCCTACATATTCCCGTCCGAAATCACGGACATTCATAAATTATGAATCCATGCCTGCACATTCACTTTGGAACCATGCCTACACATTCACTTTGGAACCATGAGATTATGAATTTTCTGTTATAAGATTATGAATTTTCTGTTATGAGATTATGAATTTTCAGTTGTGAGATTATGAATTTTCTGTTATGCGATTATGAATTTTCTGTTATGAGATTATGAATTTTCATAAAATTCATAATCTCATAACAGAAAATTCATACTTTGATCAAACGGCGCTGTTAACTCTACATTCGCGAAATTTTTTTTTTTTTTTTTGCCTAAAAACGACGTCGTTTTGCCTTGTGTTCACTATTCTCGGTGAACACGATTTCATGTCATAATTCGCGAAGGATATGATACTTCCTCTCACTTTCTATACCGGCCTATTGAAAAATCACAACCCGTTCAATAAAATGTGAAATCAAACATATAAAGACAAATATTCCTTGTATGCCAATTCAGAGCCATAGAATTTACCGCGCTCAATCATTTATGTAGTTTTTTTTTTTTTTTTTTTGAATGCCATTTATGTAGTTTATTGACTTGCATTGTCTTTTCATTAATATGATTCTTTAGGGTGTTTGGTTGGAGATTTTCCAAAGAAAATGTTTTCTTAAAAATTGAGGAAAAGTTTATTTTTTAATGTTTGGTTCATAAAATTTATTTTTCATTGGAAATGATTTCCTTACTTTTGAGGAAAATAAATGTTGAGGTGCAATCTAGGATTTTATTTTCTTTGACAATTGGGAACAAAAGTAAGCTTGCAAGACTATTTTACCCTTGTGCTTCTTTCTTAATTATATACATATAAATAGCAAACCTAGGCTTATATATGTTTTGGGAAAATGGCACATTTTCTCCCTAAGTTATATACTTATAGCACTTTTTTCCCTTGAATTATTCATGTAAGCACATTAGCCCCCTCAATTATTTTAAAAGTGGCAATTCTCATGATATATTAAATTGACATTTCTACCCTTAAAATAAACATTTTATTTATTTTTCTTCTCCAACAAATTATTGCGTATACGTAGGGGTGACCACGGTTCGATTCGAATTGAACCGGACATTATAGCAATCGAATTAAAAATTTCCGGTTATGATTCAAATCCATAATCCATTATTGGATTTCAGTTTATTAAAATTATGAATCGAAAAAACTGGATCCTGAATCGTGAACCGGCGATTCCGAATCCGGTTCGCGATTTTGAACCGTCTTTATTTTAAAATTTTATTTTTTATTTTAAAATAGTCTAAATTCAAAAATAAGTGTATTTTATTTTTTTTTAGTTCGGAACTTGAACCTGTCATCCCGCGCGATTTTAATAAACTCTAAATATCGGGTTTCGATTCTAAATTGTAATTAGAATATTTCAGTTTGATTGCTATAGTGTCCGTTTGGTTTGAACCAAATTGTGGTTATAATTTGTTGGAAAAGAAAAAAAAATAAAATATTTATTTTAAGGGTAAATATGTCCATTTAACATTTCAGGGGGGGTAAACAGCCACTTGAATAATTCAGGGGGGAAAATTGCTATAAGTATATAACTCAGGGGAAAAAGTGTCATTTGCCCTTTATACTCATTATTTCTTGGAAAAAGAGTTAAATAGACCCTTAAACTATAGGCCAAAGAGCAGTTAGGCCCTTCAACTTTGAAAATGTGCAATTAGACCCTTCAACTTGTTATTTTGAGTCAAATAAACCCAATAGCAGGTTTTTCACCTGGAATAACCGATCAAAAAATTCCGACGATATTTCCGACCATATATCCGGCGACCAAAAAAAAAAACAAAAACAAAGACAAAACAAAATAGAACTTTCCGGAGAAGACAACCGTTCGGTTGTCTTCTCCGGTGGCAGGTCGCCTTCTCCATTGGAGAGGACAACCAGTCCAGTACTGGTCGTCCTCTCCACTGGAGAGGATGACCAGATCTGGCTGCCCTCTCCAGTGGAGAGGGCGACCTGATCTGGTCGCCTTCTCCGGCAAGTTTCTTTTTTTTTTTTTAATTCGTTGTCACCGGAAATATGGTCAGAAATATCGCCGGAATTTTTTGACCAGTTATTTCAGGTGAAAAATCTGCTATTGGGTTTCTTTGACTCAAAATAACAAGTTGAAGGGCCTAATTGCACATTTTCAAAGTTGAAGGGCCTAATTGCTCTTTGACTTATAGTTTAAGGGTCTATTTGACCATTTTCCCTTATTTCTTACAATTACAAATCTAACCATACAATGAAATTAATATTCTCAGTAACTTCTTTTTCACCAACCAAACAATAAAATCCATCTTCTCAATAACTATTTTTTTTTTATTAAATTTCAATTTTATTTTCTTTTAAATATTTTTCCACGAACCAAACGAGTTACCAGGTTGCTTTCATATGTGAACTTAAGCCAATCTAGAAGCACTGTGTATCTTGAAATGAAAAAGGCAAATTCTTGCTAATCAATATTTAATTTATTCTGGTTTTCAAAAAAAAAAAATATTTAATTTATTCTATGTCCTTTGAATGTGCTCAAGTTCAACCCTTTTTACCATTCTCACTTGTAAAAGCATCTCTATAGATTTTTTTTTTCAAGTTTTTAAGGTAAAATTGTTTATTTGAAAGAGAGATGAGAAACGAGAGAATATCTTGTTTTTATTGTTATTACCTGATCTTTGTCAGGTGCCCAAAAAAAAAAAAAAAAAAAAAAAAACATGCCTAACTCAACTCGATTGCTTAACAGGTACATGCTCGTGAAGTGTTATTAGGGAAAAGTTTACAACGAATTATAATTGAAAATAATTTAATACTCCAACTAAATTTGATAACTTTAAATTCAGAATTAACTAGAATATAATCTAACAGGGCGTTTGGTTGGAGGGATTTTAAATTCCCTTCCCACTTAATTCCTACTTAATTCCAAAGGTCATTAAATTCCGTAGTTTGGTTGGAGGGAATTGTAATTCCCCTATTTTCATGGAATTAAAATTCCATGTCCCCCCTGGGATTTTAATTTCTGGGAAAAAAAGATAGTGATGAGTCAAAATTATCCCTTCCTTTTTTAACCTAAAATTAATATCTAACAACAATAATGGACATTTTTGACTTTATACTACTTATTCGCCTTTCAATTCCCATGTATACCAAACATTGGAATTGAAATTCTCAGTAATTCTATTCCTGTCAACCAAACACTGTAATTTAAATTCCCACTTTATTCCCAGTAATTCAACTCCCATAAAATTACAATTCTTTTCTCACATAATTCCCCCTCCAACCAAACGCCCTGTAAGGGTTTACAAAGTCAAGTAATGTTTGATTTCAAACGATATGATCTTCTCCCACCTACTAAAGACTGAATCATTTTGACAACTTTATGCGATCATCGAACCTTTGAGGCTTTGACCGAAACTTCCATACCCAAATATACCTCAAAAAGTCAAAAACCCGGAAAGAAAGGAAGCCCCTCTGCCCATTCCTCAGCTCCAAGAAAGTGACAAAATAGTTTCGTGGTTTAGACCATCCATCCCTCCTGGCCTCTATATATACGCCTTTCCACTCTCTTCACTTCCATCAAGCAAAGCCTATCCATAATCACCTTTAGCAAATTCAGAATCACCTCGATCAATCCATCTTCCTAGCTTCTCTGATCAAGATTGATTTAATATAATGGCGAGTTTTGATGAAGTTTCTACTCTAGAGCATATCAGAAATTACCTTCTTGGAGATCAGTACTCTCCAAGAGAGTTCAATTTTGAGAGTAGGTTGAGCCATAGCTGCAGCAGTAGTGGGAGCAGCTGCTCAGCCGTTGAAGTTTCGAGCTCGCAATCGGAATTTCTCATGGATTCATTGAGTTTCCAGGAGAATTTTTTTGAATTTCAGCCGCAAAATCAGAGCAATATGGTCGTTCGGGAATCACAATCCTCGTTTTCTAGCTCCTGTTCCTCATCGATGAATGATAACAAATTCTCCAACTTCGAATCTCACCCCCAAATTGTTGACCTAACTCCACTAAGAACACAAAACTCAAATGCCTGTAAAGAGAGAAAGCCTTCATTGAAGATTGATTTATCCCCGGCGGTGAAGAAAATTGAATGGATCGACTTCAGCGGCTCCTCGATGACGGTGCAACCGCCGGAGAAGGAGGAGGAGAAAAGGCGGTACAGAGGAGTCCGACAGCGACCGTGGGGGAAGTACGCGGCGGAGATCCGAGACCCGAAACGGCGCGGGTGTAGGGTTTGGCTGGGGACGTTCGACACCGCAATCGAAGCGGCTAAAGCCTACGATCGAGCGGCTTTCAGAATGCGGGGGAGCAAAGCGATTCTCAACTTTCCATTACAAGTTTCCACGTACAAACTTGAACAGGCATACGCCGCCGAGGACGGTGGCAGGAAGCGCCGGAGAGACGCGAGGGAGGAAGAGACGACGTCGACGGCTGTAGTAAAGAAAGAGAAATCGGAGGAAAGGCCTTTAACGCCGTCAAGCTGGAATACCATCTCGGACTGGGACTGGGATCAGAGTGTTAACGGAATGTTTAACCTGCCGCCCTTATCGCCGTTATCTCCTCACCCTGCTTTGGGTTATCCGCAACTCGCAGTAATCTAAACGTTGTACAAATTTTGTATTTTAACAACTTCTATGAATATTTTCAAAAAAAAAAAAAAACAACTTCATGAATTACAAAATAAAACAAAAAAATTCCCTTAATTTCAAGTATCAGTCCATTTTTTTTTTCATATTCGTTTTTTAATCAGTTTAACATAATATTTAAATTAAGTATAAAAAGAAAATGATTCTCATGTGAGACCGTCTCACAGATCATTATCCAATAATTGTTCTGACATAAAAATTAGGAGTTGTTATATCTAAATTAATGTCAAAGTCAAATTTCATGTCTGTTAAATGAATTGTGTTCACAAATGTCGCGAGGCTAGACCAGTCGATCTAAAGTCACCACTCCAGCAACAGGGTTGGAGTTCAACTCCCACCAATATCTTGGAGTTAAGTCTCCCTATGACAGAGTTAATGATAAGAATTAACTGCAAGATTGTTTGAGCAACTCGTGATTTATCTCCTGTAATTCTTAGACTAAAACTTTCGGGGGTTTAGGATTATTCTAATTTAACCAGAAAAAGTTGATGTATTAAAAAATTGTGTTCAAAATTGTAAGGTCTATATATTCTCTCCCTCGTTGATCGGTCATTTGTTGGGTTCAGTTGGGCAGTTGGCAGGTTCCAGAGATGCAGTCAACGGTCTTCCATTACGTTGCGGCATTAAATGATATAGGTTTGAAGACTCAGTAGATGTTTCTTAACGTACCACCTCATCCAAAATCTTTAATGCATGCATTACTTAAATTTGTCAAAGTCTTCGCGTGAACTTTGACTTTTCTGTAAAATGATTATATTACTTGATAACTGACAGTTCTTTGCCGAGGATTTTCAAATGGAAAATACTTGGTGTACTCTCATTTTAAACTCTCAACTTGTATTTCCTCTTACATATTCTTGATGTAGATTTTTTTATGTGGACCCACATGATAGAAAATAACCAATCCTAGTTTGCCACCTCAGGGAGTACAAATGGGGGAGTAGAATTTTGGGAGTCTATGTAGTAGAACTTTTTCCAAATTGGAGGATAACTCAATAGCTTCTGGCAGCAAGGAAATGAACAGAAAAAAACAAAAGGAATTTTTAAGGGTGTGTTTGGTTGGTGGGTTTTGCCCATAGGAATGGGTATGAAAGTAATTGTTGTTGTTTGGTTGATAGGTTTTTAGAACACCACTATGGGTTTCGAATACCCCATCAATTGAAAAACCCATACCCAAATAATATAAGGGTTTCATTCCCTTATTCATTCTCAAGCACTACTATTAGTAATCATTCTCATTCCACCCTACTACCAAACATGTTAAATACTTTCACCAAAACCCATTACCATTACCAAGTATTTGATACCCATTCCGATTTCGATTCCTACGTGCGAACCAAACACACCCTAAGAGTTGGTGTGCCGGTCGGTAATTCATATAATACATGTTTTATATGGCACATGTTGATTCTACACCTCTTGATATGATTATGAAATGCATGATTGATATGATACATATTGATTCTAAAATTTGAAATATGAATTGCACATACTGGTTCGTATATATATATATATATATATATATATATATATATATATATATATATATATATATATATATATATATATATATATATATATGATTGTGTAAATTCCTATATATATTTTCAATTTTATTTTTGATTCTTCAAATTGAAAGAAAAGCATGTGATATATATGTTTGTGTAAATAGAAGTGGCTTTTCGTATAAAGATGCAATGTATGTATACATATTATTTTCATTTCGCATACTTTGTATGTTATATACCCTATGCTATAGTGCATTATTATGTTTTTATGGTATGCCATGTGCATGTGATTAGCAATTCATTTTTGTGCCTAATTAGGCAATGAATGAATGATTTTTAATTAAGATTGTTAAAGTTTATTTTGTGGAAACTTAAGAGTGAGTGAGACTTTAAAGCTTAATTGATGACTTGGGAGCATGAATTCGGTGTATTGGAGAGTGAAGCACCACTTGTTGCCTGTAGCACAAGTTGAAGCTATAAACACGAGTCGATGCTTGCTGCATCAATTCGGTGTTTGCCGCACCAATTCGTGCCTTGTTTCTTGTAGCACGAGTTGATGCTATAAACACGAGTCGATGCTTGCTGCATCAATTTGGTGTTTGCCTCACCGATTCGTGTTGCACCATTTCGGTTTTAAATTTGTGTATATTCAAAAGATCAATTTGTTTTTAGATTTATATTTTGACTTCATCCCGGAAAGTTCGTTTTGCATCTAGAAGATGTTAAATTCCTTATTTTTCTATAAACATGTGATATTATGAACGTATATGAGAATATATGATATAAGTTTTGTAGATTACGTCTTCCATTGTCAAATGTGAATTTATTGAACTCGCTTATGAAGGAAGCAATTGTTGGGTTCTAGATATTGAAATTTATTTGGCATCCAGAGAATTGAGCCAAGCTTTTTTTGCTAAGTCACAGAGCATCGATGTCCAGAAGGCACAAGCTCTCATTTTCATATGTCACCACTTGAACCACGATTTTAAAAATGAGTATCTGATTGAAAAAGAACCCCTTGCATTAATGGAAGTCCCTGAAGGACTATTCCGACCAAAAATCATCAAATGTTCTTCCCCAAGACACATTTTGACTAGTTTAATCTCATGTTTAATTTTGAGATTATAATGTAAGTCAATGATTAACTATAATTCAACTATGCACAAAATAGTCTCGCAATTGAAACTCTAAACAAGAAGTTTCAGATAAATATTTAATTGGAAAGACATTGCCAACTTTTCATGCGAGTAATTTGTACTCCAGCAATAGTACAAGACAACAAATTATGCGAAGTATCCTAAGCTGATTTTAGCATTCCTTGTGGCTAAGAATCATAACTAGTTGTTGATGAAGGATCAAAAGTGCATGTCTGGTTGATTTTGCACAGGTGCTTGAAGCACATAATGTTACCTAGTTGAGTAACTTTATAAGGGGTTGCAGTCGAGATTATAATCGGTGTGGTATGAGTTTCGAGCTTAGAATAAGAAACAAAGTGATCAATATATTCAAGGACGACCAAACCCATCGAGGCAAAATCCTAGCCAGAAGCAGGTTTGCTAACAATTGGGTTTGAAGGGCATTGATCCCTACGTGCCGCGCATCAAAGCATTTGGTATCGGAGAATGAACCTCCTCTTGATGATTCTAGCTAATTTGCCTGAAGCAAATATTGCGATAAATGATGATAATGAAATGACGAGGTATTGATGAAGAAATGATTGGTGTCATGATAATATTTTGAACAATGCATGAAAATATATTCATGGCAAAAAAAAAGGTTAGTCTATGCCTGAAGCATGAAGTATCCGAGTAGTTAGCTCATGCTTGAAGCATCCGAGAAGTTAGCTTATGCTTGAAGCATCCGAGAAGCTAGTTTATGGCTGAAGCATCCGAAAAGTTAATTCATGACCGCAATATTCGAAAAGTTAAGTTATTTTTTGACGCAAATTATTATGAATGCAAAGTTATTTTACTTTGCTGTTTTTCACTTTTTCCCTGCTAATTTTACTACTCGAAGTGACTATTCGGAAAGTTTACTTCTATAAGCTTAACTTTCTAATCTTACTTCTTGAAATTTAACTTTTCGAATGTTTTTTACTTTCTGGAACTTTATTTTCCGGAGGAAGTTTACTTCTCGGAGTTACTCCTCTTAGTTTGCATGCTTATTTATGAAAAAATTTTCTCATGCATGCAACATGATTCTCGTATGAAATTGACTGGTTGCTAATTCAAAATTGAATTATTATCAATCCCAGAAGGATTGCTATTATCGATAAATTATGATAATAATCTTTTGACTAAATTTAAGATGTCAAAATGTCGAATCCATCTCTGAGTATGGCATAGTGCAATTTTGTGTTATTTAAGGGGTAGTATACTATACCCCTTTATAAGAATGATTCTTGACTTATGCCTTACATGATATGATTGATTTATATGTTATTAATTTGAAAGATAGAAGAAAATGATATCATATCAGTTTGCTCGAAGCAAACGAAGGAATAAATCATTTCATATTAGTTTGCCCGAAGCAAATGGGGGAGTGAATTATATCATGTGAATTTGCACAAAGCAATTCCCAAACCAGTGAGTGAACTAATGTAAAGTTGAGGATAAGGATTTTTGGGAGATCTTGAAGATCTATTTTATTTGACAAGCTTCACAGCTTCCCTATGATTGTTGTGTACCCTTATAATATCATTTGATATGTATGCTTTCATATCTGATTATATATTTTCTTGTTGGGGACATCAGTTTTATATGCTATTGTGGTTATCACAATCTCACCTACTGCATATCATAATTATTCCCCTAGAACCTAGTACGTGGTATAAAACCAAACATTTTCCATCTGCGTTTTATTCACAGTGTGCAGTCTTTTTCCTATATCACCACCATAGCGTACCTTTGTGGGCATGTATATGTTGATTATAAACCTCCGTCTGTTATTTAAATTCTTAGAGCCCATGATAAGGGATCAATATATAATTAGGTACGCTGATTGCACACTTAATGAAGATCATTTCACGGCATTAGGGGGAGATAAGAGCTCAAATTTTATAGAATGCCGAGAAATTCTATGGATGATTGATGAAAAAGATTTTCAATATTTAAATCCACGTACTAGGTAGACTGAACTAGAAGTTCAGAAGAAGTAAACTGAACTAGAAGTTCAGAAGATAATTAATCTGCCAATATATATATATTGATCATAAAAAGAGTGACTAGGTCCTACATATTTTCCCCAACTTGGACCATATGTATCTACCAATGCTCCTTGACGCCAGAAGCGTGGAGACATGTTGGTATAATCCGCGGAAAGCTAAATCTAGTAGAAAATGGTGTCACTCTTGAAATCGCTTAAAGAAGTATGTCCTGAAGACATTCGTTCAGAAGGCGAAAACCCCAGTAAAATTTTAGGTGCACCCAAAATCATAATACTGGGGATGCGGAACGACCAGATAAAAATATCTTTGGGAAATGTCTAGAGTCTGATTGAATTAGAAATTGCCATTATTTTATATATATGGGAGAGATTTATTAAAAATGTTATAGTTGTCGACAACAGAATTGCCTTTTCAAATTGTTCTCGTTATATGAGAATCTGGATCCAGAGCTAGGCACCAGTTCTGCTTTGGTATTTTTTATGTATAACGGAGCAATTAAGGCATGTACAGCTCAACTCGCTAAAACTGTATTCTCTTTATAACACGTACACCATTTAATGTTAACCCTGTAGGTTACAAATGGGTGTTTGTACGAAAGAGAAATACAAACAATATGGTGGTATAATATAAAGCGAGACTGGTAGCTTAAGGGTTTACGCAGAGACCCTGAATTAATTTTGATCAAATATTCTCTCCCACAACATATGGCATTACGTTCCGCAAATTAACATTATTGGCAGTGAATTATGAATTTAGATATGCAGTTGATGAACGTCATGACTGTAATTTACTGGTCATTAGACGCTAATATTTATTTGTAAATCCCCGATGGATCAACACTTTTGGAATGTGGAAAGTGAAAATCGCAACGTGTATCATTAAATTGCAAAAGTCTTTGTAAGAATTGAATATTATTGACTGAGTGTTTTTCCTCCTGAAGAAAGAATGCATATTGAATGATTGAGTTGACTGTGTATTTTTCCTCCTGAAGAAGGAATATGCAAATATGTACCATTATGTGTTCGTTAAAGAATTGCTAATGGAGTTATTTGTTTATTATCATAGTCAATATTGATGGTTTAAATATCATTGAACACATAGAGAGCTTGGTGATATCAGCTCATGCCGAAAGACGGAGTTTTTAAAATAAAAGACTTGGAAATCCAAGTATTGTCTCGACCTGAGATCGAGTTTCTCCTTGAAGAAGTTTTATACACCAGTTAGCCTACTTGAAAAATGTCATGAAGATGTTTTATATGGATAAGTATTATTTACTTATCACACAAACGGTTGTCCAATAATCTCTTAAAGTATATAAAAGACCATTTAGCCTCGAAGATGATAATGAGGATATTTAGGGACTGGAAGTCCATTACTTCATTCCTATTGGAGCACTATTATTGAACTAGAAGTTCCATAATCGCATCAGGGCTGATATTGAATTTGCGATGAAATTGCTAGCAACATTTAGTGCTTCACCCTACAATGAAAATTGGAATGGTATTTAACATGTCCTCCAGGCTCCAGCACATTCGATGTACAAAGATTTTGACGTTTATGTGAGAAACCAATATGTGGTTTTGATGGGCTACTTGGGCAATGGCTTTTTTATTTGATCCCTATGATGCCAAGTCCAAAACTGGTTATGTTATATTTTTACCCCCAATGTCCCATATGAGGACAAATAAGATTGTGTTGCACAAGCAAGTAATAGGTTGGTTAAGATGAACCTTAATTACAAAACATATTGCACCTAAGTCCTTCTACACACATGAACTCTAGAAGAGTGGTAAAATTATTTTTGAAAATGTTTACCCCAGTGAACAATCTTGCAGATATGTTCACTAAGTCTCTGCCAAAAATTGGGATGCATAGGCTTAGAAGATTGTTATCTTCAGGGGGAGCGACAACCCCTAGCTACACTGGAATGGACAATCTAGAAGGTCTTTTGAAATCCTGAATATTATGCTACGAAAGCATATGGTTGTACTCTTTTTTCCTTAGCTAAGTTTTTCCCCATGGGGTTTTCTTAGGCTAAGGTTTTTAATGAGGCAATCGATGTTGGTGCACTTGAGTGGATAGTCCTGAAGACCCTTAGAATCTTGAAGATTATGCCCGGAAGGATTATGGTCGTACTCTTTTCTTTAGCTAAGTTTTTTTCCCACTGGGTTTTCTTAGGCTAAGGTTTTTAATGAGGCAATCGGTGCAACACATTGTTTGAAATACTTCGTGTACTCTTTTCCTCGTCTAGGTTTTTTCCACTGGGTTTTCCTAGCGAGGTTTTTAACGAGGCATGAGTATAGTTTGATAATGGCCAAGGGGAGTGTTATAAATATTATTATTATTATGGCCATTATCACAAGACCTTTCATTTGCCTTATATTTATTCCATTATTTATGTTATAGAAAATGAGGGGTTATATGGATGTATATATATACATGTTCAAGGCATAATGAAAGAGAGAACTTGTGTTCTTGAGTTCTACATTCTTGTGTTATATTTTTCTCTCTACTCTTCCATTCCATATTGCAATATTCTTCATACATACAATCGATGCGTTACCGTACAATTATCACGCGAGAACTAACAAGTTGATAGGCCGAATTACAACAATAAGTGAGTTCTTTTTTTTTTTTTTTGAAAGCCAACCAAAAAATGATTGTATTAATGAAGCAAAGCTGCAATAGTGTCAGGTGGGATTAAATCCCATGTCATAACCTGATTCTGAGTAAAAGCTAACGAAGCTAAAGCATGCGCATGTAAATTAAACTGCCTAGAAACATAACTTAACGAACAATAAGTAAATGAAGTCATCAGCGACCTACAATGGTCGACTGCAAGTCCAGCATATGACATAATAGTTGTTGATCCCTGGCGTACAACGTTTCGTAGTTGCAAACAATCTGTGAGTATATCCACATCAACCGTATTCCTTTCGATGAGCCATGATAGAGCCTCCTTACAAGCCATGACCTCCGCCATAAAAGGTGAGAAGCAGGTTGGCAGAGTTCCGTTTCGCGCCGCTATGAACGATCCATCCGGCGAGAGTAGGACCACTCCATAGGACGCCTCCCCCGTAGCATGTCGGAAGCTTGCGTCGACAAAACATCTTGGCCTGGCGTGATGAGCATTCTCCGGTCCGTGTGGTGCCGGCAGCGCGGGGTGGTGATTGGCGTGGCGGTATGACCCCATTGCCGCGGATGCTCTCCTCCACAAGCCGGCGGGACGTGGCAAAGATTTCTCCCACACGGCTGAGTTGCGACTCTGCCACAAGTGATACAGAACCGCCACCAAAGTACCACTTTGTTCCTCTGTCAAAATTGCAAGCGCGGCTGTTAGCCAGGCAGGAAAAGAATCGGTAATAATATTTGTGATAGGTAGGCCTGTAATATTCCAAACTACTTTAGAATAATCACAAGTAATAAGTGCATGCATAACATCTTCATTCATTACACCACACTTCTGGCATATTGGATCAATATCCACTCTTTTAATAATTAAATTAACAGTGGTAGGGAGGATATCACAAATTGCTCTCCACAAAAAAGTCCTCCACAAAAAAGTCCTCCACTTTGGAGGCACCTTCATTTTCCATATACTAGTCCACTTATCAAACTCTCCTGGCACATGGTCATAATTACCCACAATACTCCTATAGGCATTCTTTACTGAATAAATTCCATTTGAGTCCCCAAGCCAATACCACGAGTCATCATAACCAGGACTTACAGGGATCTTGAGTATACGATTGACATCCTCCGGAATAAATAAATCAGACAAAATATAGGGATCCCACATATTAGTCTGCTCATCAATTAAGCCTGCCACTTTCGCATGTCTCAATTCCTCAGGCATATCAGTTTGAATGAGAGGACTAGGCTCATCTGGCAACCACGGGTATCCCCAAATTAAAGTTGTTTGACCATCCCCAATCCGTCTACGTACTCCTGCAACAACCATATTATGAGCAGCCATAATACTCCTCCAGGCATAACTTGGACTACTGCCGATTTTAGCATCAATAAATATAATGAGGTAGCAGGATAATATCGGACCTTATATATTGATACAACCAGAGAGGTGGATTTTGTAAGAAAGTGCCATGCCTGCTTCCCTAATATTGCCAAATTAAAGTTCCTGAGATCCTTAAATCCCAGACCACTATATTTCTTAAGGATACATAATTTATCTCAGGCTTTCCAGTGAATTCCCCTCTCTCCTCCATTTCCCCACCAGTACCTGTTCATAGTCCTCTGAATTGACAAACAGACCGTGTCAGGTAGTAAGAAAATACCCATTGAAAAAGTTGGCATTGACTGCGCCACGCTTTTTAATAGGATCTCGTTACCTGCATGTGATAGCAACTTCTTATTCCACGAGCCAATTCTTTGTTTTATTCTATCCTCAATATAGGAGAACACCATTCTCTTATTCCTCCCAATAAAAGAGGGCAACCCCAAATATTTCCCAAAATTGGGTGCCTGTTCCACCTGCAAACACGCAGCCACTATATCCCTATCCTCCTCCCTGGTGTTCTTACTAAAACAGATACTAGATTTATGATAGTTAACCTTTTGCCCCGACAACTCCTCATATCGTTGTAGGCACTCCTTAACCACCGTTGCCTCCTGACTGTTTGCCTTAAAAAACACAGGCTATCATCTGCAAAAAACAAATGCGAAACCGGGGGGCACCTCGCGCCACCCTACACCCATGTATAGAACCAGATATCTGAGCCTTCTGTAACTACAAGAAATCTGTCATTTCCCTACAAAAATTTTAGCGACGCTCTAGAAAACGTCGCTAAATATAACAATTTGCGACGTTATATTAAATAACGTCACTATATATTTTGGTAGAGACAATAAATTTTTTTTGTAATATTTGCTGACGAAATATAATTTTTTTCGTCAATAAAAATATAGAATCAATGACGTTTTATAATAAACGTCCCTAATATTTTATTTTAAAAATTAATTTTAGCATAAAACGTCAGAAAAAGTAAAAAAAATTGTGCGGCAAATTTTTTATCCTCTGGCGCCATTACAAAAATAATCTCTTTAGAAATAAAAAAATATATATCTAAAAACAAACTCTTCACATCTCTCGGCTTCCATTGCATATCTCTTCACATCTATCGGCTTCTATTGCGACAACACCATTTTTCCACTACAAGACCGTCGTTTCCATCGGCGTTCAACTACAAGACTGCCCTTTCCACCGACGTTCCACTACAAGATTGCCGTTCCGACCGCCGTTTCCACTGCGACAAGTTCATCCTCTAAGAACCTGCGTCTCTAGTTTTCCCTAATCTCACTACACTACAGTATAATAAAATTGTCTCTGCTTCTATTCTCACTACTTTCCCTTCATCTCGCTATTTTCTCTGCGTTCATCTCTGCAAAAATCCAGTGGAAGTCTTCCAAAGGATGCAAGCTTAGAAGAGAAGATTCATGTAAATACAAACCCTAATATTTCTGGGTTAAAAATAAACATATTAATCTAGGGTATTGATGCATTTCTGGGTTAGGATTTAAACTTTTGTTCTGATTTTCTATATCAATATATGGTTAGGATTTAAAGTTTTATTTGTTTATTTTATATTTATTTATTTTTTATTTCAAATTATTATTGTGTATTTGATTTTTCATTTTTTTTTATTTTGAATATTATTGTTATTGTGTTATATTTGATATTTTAAGAAATTTCTTTTGAGTTTTTGTTGGTTGGAAATCATAAGCAAGTTGTGCAGATATAATGTTGTTACTATGTAGAGGATTTTGTTTTAGCATAGGAGAATTTTTCTTTCCAGGAGGTTGATCCAAAAATATAATGTGGCCACCTAGTACAGTTAATATGTAAAGGATTTTGTTACTCTCACAATTCAACACAGACATTTCTTTAAAATGAATAGAAATTTCACCCTAAGTATTGAAATAGACTACTGCAAATTAAGTGTTATGGAGTGTTCATTAATGAACTTTTATTAGAGACTATTGGATGGAGAGTTTAAACTTGAATTAGGATGTGTGATTTTATTTGTAGTGAAGCAGTAAGATGACTTTACCATTGATTATCATTTGATTCAGGTTATTGCAGTTAATGGACAATTTCCAGGTCTTGTTTTTAATGTTACAACTAATGACAATATTGTGGTTAATGTGAGGAACATGCTGGATGAAGATCTTCTGGTACTAGTGATTCTCAAGGTACTTTTTGCCTAAACTCTTGAGAATTGGTTTTTAGGCAAGAATGGTTTGATTTTTTTAATGATTACTTCTAACCTTCTATTTCTTCTACTACTTGCATAACTTGTTATAAATATACTATTTCTTCCCCTTTCTCTCATTGTTCCCTCTGTTGCAAATGGATAGCCATTCACTGGAATTTTTTTAATGATTGCTTCTATTTCTTCTAATAATATTAGAGGTATGTATCTCTTGGAATGTGGTTTGTTGAAATCCTATGCACCAGAATTTTAATTGTTCAAACTATCTTCTTTCTAACAGGATTTTGACTTCCATGAGTTTGAAGAAGTATTGCAATACTACCCTCAAGAGTATCATGGTGTTGACAGGGAGGGCAGATCGATACATCATCATGTCCAAGAGTTTGAGAGGGCCATACAAGAAAAGTTTTCGGCATGCTCTATTCCAGCGAAGAAAAGGATCTCCTCAACAACTACAATATTGAATGTGCAAGGCCTGGTATGTTGGTTTAATTTAATGTTGAGTTTTCTCCCTTTTGAAAGATAATTTTACTTTGTTATATACCGTAGCCAGTCCATTATCTTCTGTGAATGAGACCTTCATTTGATAGAGTAAATTGCGTAATTTTAGCTGATGTGATTTTTTGTACTAGTGTTTGTTACCTTGCAGATCATTGAAGTGTGTATCATCTCTGTGATAACTTCAGTTATTTCATTTGGATTGCCACTGTTCAGAAGATGCACTCCTTGTCCTAATTCTGATGCCAAATCAGGCATTGAATGTCCACGTGCACCAGGAATGTATGAAAATTATGTAAATGTATGCACATCTCATATACGTAGACTTTAAGTAGATCTTCAATGTTATTTTGGAGTATGTCTGCTTGTTTTGACCATTATTTTTTTTATTGTTCTTTTGCATGCATTGTTTCTTCAGTTTGTTGAATGTCAGATTTGATGCTATTTGTGCATTCCTTTACATTTTATTGGTATATTTGGTTATTCTTATAATTATATTTATTTTCAGTTTTATTGCCCGAACGAGGAGTACAATGACCTTGCAACCTTATTCTTCAACACTTAGGTTACTTCAATTTTTAATTTGCCACAACCTTTTCTTCTCTTTTTAATACACTGATATCTATCACAACATCAGAACCTTTTTTCAGCTTATAAAGTCTGTGTGCTCTACATTTGTAGGATGATGCTATAAAAAACTTATTTAGAGAAAACGTGAGTCCATTACTTGTTTATTTTTAATTTATTCAATTGTGTCCAATTGATACAATTACTCCCATTAAATTATTTTATTCAAGACAATTTGACAGATTATGAGCCTACTTAACCAATTTTACTATAGAACTTATGACTAGTTAATTGAGGAAAGTTTATATTAGAGCTTCAGCTTATTTTATGCCAAATTTATTATACTGTTTATTAATTTTGAGTCTTTAGTGAATTATTTTCTTATGATATATAGCACTTGATGGACATATAATCCTATTTGGAAAATTCATACAGAGTAGTATTTTTCTTATTGTGTCTATGCAAGCTTCTAAATTCATGTTTTGTTGGTTTTTAGTCTTTATAGCTTATATAGTTTTTATACTCCTATTTTATGTTTATCTTTGTACTGCTAATAATAAGATAAGTTTGGCAAGATGTAAATTAACTATTTCATTGAGTTGAATATAGTTCTGAATAATTTATTACTTATGCTTGAAAAATATTTATATTTGTTTAGTGGCAGGGAATTATTGCATATCTAGAAGTACTCATCAAATCAGTCCTTCTCCCCAAGATAAAGGACTTCCAAAGTGTCGGCCTCAATAGTTTTGATAAACATGAGAATTATTATCTATCTTTATGTGCATAGAATTGTATATATTCTCGCGTCTAGTCTAACCTTATTTAAGAATCATTTGTATCACATTACATCCTTGTAATTCTATATTATACTATGAATAATATTCTTCTATTTTGAATATTTAATTGATGCTAAAATATTTTATTTTCAATTACATGAAACTGTTGTGTAAACCATTCTATATACAAGTATATGTAAATTATCATCAATCAAGGGTCAAAAAATTACAAATATTTCCAAATATAAAATTTTGCGATGAAAAACGAATATGGAAAAAACGTCAGTAAATGTATTTTTACTGATAGCATAATAATGTATACAATCGTCAATAAATGTTATTTTATTGACACATTTCGTTTTTCGTCACCAATTAAATTTAGTAATGACAAGCATAATTGTATGGAAAACGTCAGTAAATACACATTTGCTGACGAAATATTCTACTTTGTCACAAACTATTACCGACGTTTTTGTTAATATTTCGTTGCAAAAAGTATGAATTCAATGACATTATCAAGACCATGCAAAAACGTCAATAATCGTAATATTTTGTGACGAAAAATTAACTTCGTTAGTAATACCTTTCCATACGCCGCTAACCCGACGGTCTGGCTGACGTTTTTATTTCGTCAGTAAAGACATTTAGCGATGTATTTTTACTTTTATCGACGTTTAAAAAACGTCGCTAAATGACATATTTCTTGTAGTTAACATAGACAAACCTTCTGCACAAATAATGAATAAATACGAGGAAAGCGGATCACCCTGTCTAAGACAACGAGACGGTACCAACCTGCCACAATCAGCATCGTTAACCATAATATTATACTGCACTGTAGTTACACAATGCATGATCAGATTAATCCGTCTCTACTCAAACCCCATAACCTCCAACATTCTCCGCAGGAACCACCATTCCATTCTATCATACGCTTTAGCCATGTCTAACTTTAATGCCCCCCACCCTGTCCGGCCACACTGCTTCCTATTTAAGTAATGTCCCACCTCCGCAGCGATAAGAATATTATCAGTAATTAATCTACCCGGAATAAAAGCACTCTGAGATTCAGAGATAATGTCCCCCATCAGTGGTTTCATCCTGTTAGCTATTACCTTTGCCATAATTCTATACAACACATTACTTAACGCAATTGGCCTCATATCAGCTACAGTCTCAGGCACATTCTTTTTGGGGATTAAAATTACATTAGTATCATTCAATCCATCGGGGAAGATGCCAGTATTCAAACAATCTATGATAAACTCAGACACATCCCCCTACTATATCCCAAAACTGCTGATAGAACCCCGGGTTCAAACCATTCGGTCCCGGTGCCTTATCAGGGAACATCGCAAACAATGCACTTTTAACCTCATCAGACTTATAGGGACGCAATAAAGCATTATTCTACTCATTCGTTACACGGGGAATAAACTCATCAAACATGGGATCCTCACACACAGAATCAGAAGAGGCAAAAATAGCATCATAATAATCCAAAATAACTCTCTTCATCTCATCCCCCTCGACCCAACCACCAGTATCATTCTTTAACCTAGACAGATAATTTTTACGCTTACGAGCAGAGGCATACCTGTGGTAAAATTTCGTGTTCGCAAACGCACCACGGAGCCAATGTTGTTTGGCCCGCTGCTTCCAAAACACATCTTCCTGGACCTCCACCTGAGTCAGCATGGCTTCAAGCCGTCGAAACTCAGCCAGAGAAGCCGAGTCCCTTTGATGTCTTAACGCATCCTGCTCGTGCCTCAACCCCTTTATGCGGTCCCCAAATTTACTCCAGTGTTCCCCACCCCACCGCATAAGCCTACCACCACAATATTATTGACAATTCAACAAACCCCTGTCCTTTCCATCCTGCCAGGCAGATTCAACCACCTCCCTGTAACCATCATCATGAATCCAGGCCATTTCAAACCTAAATCCCCTCAGTCTCACTTGCCTGCGTACCATTGCATTAGTACTCAGAAAGAGAGCCGAGTGATCCGAGCTGCGAGTCCGGATGTTCTCAACCCAAGCCTCCCCATGCATGTCAGTCCAAGGCATTGTTACCAATACCTTATCTAACCTTTCCTCTATCCATCGATCCGTTCCTTTCCCTTTTTCCCATGTAAATTGGTGCCCTATCACCGGCAATTGGATCAGGCCACAATTATCCAAAGTCTCCCCAAAGCCCCGCAAGAGACGATCAGGGTGTGGATTCCCCCCCCCCCGCCCCCCCCCCCCCCCTTTCTCCTGCTGATGTAAGAGATCATTAAAATCCCCTACTACCACCCATGGCAACGCAGACTTATCCTTCAAACCACTCAACAATTGCAAGGCCTCCCCTCGTCTCAATACAATTGTATGTTGCACTAATTTTTTTATTTATAAGAATCAAATCCAGTTTCATATCTCAATATAACTTCTCACAAGCCCTTTGTTCATACAGTTTTTAATATCCTTAAGACTACCAAACTAGCTTAGTTCAAATTCATCTCAAGTCATGCATGCTCGTAAAATTTGTCTCTTGCTAGAAGGAAAGGCTAGCCCAATATGACAACTAGGGGTGTTAGTAAACAGAGCTTTTAGAGCATTCGTTTATTAAGATAAACGAACATAAATGAACAAATTTTAGAGCTCGGATTATAAGCGAACAGAGTTTTAACAGTTGTAGACTTGTTTGCTAAGAGTTCGTGAACAAACTCGTTTAGTATTCGTTTAATAATGTTCATGAACAAGCAGTTAAACATATATATATATATATATATATATATATATATATATATATATATATATATATATATATATATATATATATATATATATATATATATATATATATATATATATATATATAGGGAAGGATTCAGCTGCAGGAAAGGGTTCCCGTGCGGTTTTGCAAAGGACGCACCTTAAGCATTAAAATGGTGCACCTTAAGTAAACAAACCATGCACGCACCTTAAGCACACAAACAGAACACCTTAAGAACACAAATCACGCATCTTAAGAATACAAACCACGCACCTTAAGAACACAACAAAGCACCTTAATAACACAAACCATGCACCTAAGGTTTTAAAATGATTCACCTTAAGTTTCATACAACTAACACACCTTAAGCATACAAATTACGCACCTTAAGAAGGAAACTCACGCACCTTAAGTTTCAACAACTACTTACATCCTTAAGCACAAAACTCACGCACCTTAAGTTTCAACCATTACTCACGTTAAGTACACAACCCACGCACCTTAAGAACAAAAATCACGCACCTTAAATTTGACCTAGATGCAAAATTACCAAATTGCCACTACGTTTTTTTTTTTAAATCTTGGTAATCCTAGACGTTGATTTAATCAAAATCAATGGCTCTCATCTCACCGCACAACTGCACTAGAACCTATATATATATATACATATATATATATATACATATATATATATACATATATATATATATACATATATATATATACATATATATATATACATATATATATATACATATATATATATATATATATATATATATATATATATATATATATATATATATATATATATATATATATATATATATATATATATATATATATATATATATATGGTTCACGTGCGAAGAGTCTCCCAGGTGAAAGATGCGGCGAGATCTGAGCCGCTAATCTAATCATCTAGATCAACGACTCAAATCAAGGAAAAAAAAATGCACTTCCTAGGAACTAGATGTGAATGATCTCCTCCTACCATTGTTGAACTGATGCAACTTAAGGTTCAAATTTACGCACCTTAAGTTTCAAGTTGACGCACCTTAAGTGTTAAAATGGCGCACCCTAAGTGTTAAAATGATGCACCGTAAGTGTTAAAATGACGTACCTTAAATGTTAAAATAACGCACTTTAAGTTTGAAAATGACGCACCTTAATTGTTAACGAACATGTTCGCAAACGTTAACAAACAGTAATTGTTTGTTAACAAACAAATACGTACACGAACATTCGAAATATCTTAACAAACGAACGCGAACAACTTACGTTCGTTTATGTTCGATCCGTTAACAACCCTATTGACAGAATTGAGAGCATATCACATGCAATACAAGTCAAACTTTGACCCTACAATTCCAGTTATCAATTATCTCAAACCACAAAGATAAATAAATATTCAATATCAACCAATTCAGCCAACATATAATACCTCAGTTGTGCTTTTGTCATTTGTGTTTAACATATATAGTACTTTGTCTCTACTATGTAAACAATGCACCTGATACACCAGTGTTTTGGTGTTTTAATTTATTAGATTATAAGATAAAAAAAAAAGGTGCAATGCCATCCACGTCTCAATGCTGTCAGCCAATCATTCCCAGTAATTTCCAATTGTTTTTCCGATATTATCTTTAGGGATGCCCAGCCTCTCTCCGCTTTGGTTGTATACTTCTATTTGTCCTTTTTATGTATGAAATCTTGGGGATTCTTGGCGGCAACTAACAGACATTTGAATCAAAATATAAAATCACCACTATACTGTATCAGAACTATGATGCAGTATCATAGTCCCTGTACGGCGATACAGTTATTGGACGGAGCTTCAGAAGCTATGCGGTTTCCCTCATTATCGTACTCAACGAAATCGAACTCGATCTGCTGTTTCAATGAAGAGGCCACTGTTTTGCGCATGTCCCTCTCACGGATGATATTCACTATGCGGAAGCACACCACCTGTTCGATTATATATTCAAGAGAGAAACCGCATGGTTATCCCCTCGACCACTCGTCTTTCATTGACAAGGGAGGGCACTTCGTGGATCGTCCCGGGGGTTCATATTGTGTGTAGGTATACTTGTTCAGTTGTTTACATTGAAGTAATCAGTGTTGTTTTGTCTGCTTGGTTCAAAGATGCTATTTTGAGAATCTAAGGAGAGCTGTAGTTGGAGTGTCTTAAACTTAAAGGCTTTTAGCTAGGGTGTGCTCTGAGAAATGGTTATAATGTGCAGATTTTTTAGGGTTTGCTGAGAGAGCAGGGAGGCTACGATGGATGCAGAAAAAACTGCTGCTGCCCTTGAGGCTGTCAACAATGAGACTGTTGATTTGGTAATGTTTAACTTGCAGGTTTTAAACAATACTATTAAATAACACAAAAATTGTTGGAAAATTAAAGTAGCATGAGAAATGCATTGAAAGTGGCTATTTTGTGGTACAAATATATGTGGGGTCCACTTCTAATTTGGGTCGGGTCAAAGTGGATTCGGATTCTTCGTAGAGACGAAGAGATGGATATATTGTATACTCAAAACAGATAATAGGTGAATGAGAAATTGATTATCAAAGTAGACCCATTTGAGTTGGAAAATAAAGTTGGAAAGTCTTAAAAGTAGCCTTTGTCTTACATTGGAAAAACAAAGGGATTTGCACCACTATATATACAAAGCTTTTTAGAGGCATGTTGAATTGTATAGCATAGAGGGTCTCTCTCGCGCGCAAGGGGTGTGCAAATCAAATCATAGAATGACCCTGAAAAAGGCGTGACTCGTGTACGGCACCGGTTAAGTTATGCTAACTTTTCGAAAATATTTTCCAACATTTTAGAATTAGTTTCTAGAGTAATGGTTGTCGGTTATTTGGGTTACACAGACCGATTTTATTATCAGTTTTAATGCCATTGATTAAATGTTATTTAATCCATCAACTCCTATATAAGCTTTGGTTGAGCAGGTGATTTTAGACATTGAAATATTAGGTTTCTTTCTCTCGAAACTCAGCTCTTCCTACTTCTCAATTTTCTGTGTTCAAAACATTGTTCTCGTTCGCCGGGTTCTTTTGTTCGAGTCCTCAAACATAGAATCTTAGCTTGTTTTATCTTAGGAAATCTAGGCTACAACGCTCCTAGCACCTTTGGAGGTAGCAAATAAGGTTTTAAGGATAGCGTGGGTATCACACAACTCAAGCTAACGTAGCCTTCGATCATTTCGTTTTTTGTGGTTATTTTTTGTGGAAATAATCTTTTTTCCCAGGAATATTTTCTTAACAAAAATCTCATTGATTCATGTTAGGATTTGGTTTCTATAACAATAAATGTCTGAATATTGTTATTCCTAATTCCCAAATGTCATTTTTTTCATGATGAATGTGGAAATAGGCTCTTCATCAGTTGTCAAATGACTGCCACAACAACAATGTTCTAGACTGAGTGAGAAATGGAAAGTTTGGAGTCATCGTTCTTATGTAGTAATGTAAATACAAGTGGGATGATATGATGTGATGTGAGGTTTCAATCCCCATTGGGATTTAAAACAAAATGGACTATTCTTCTCCTCGCTAGTGGGAGTACTAAGTGAGCCCCATTCTTCTGGCAGGAACATATTCCTATTGAAGAGGTCTTTCAAAGCTTGAAATGTACTGAGGAAGGACTCAGCTCTGATGCGGCCAAGAAACGTTTAGAGATGTTTGGTCCAAACAAACTTGAAGAAAAAAAGGTTTGTTGTTATACACTCTAATTTCTCCTTACTTCTTATCTATTATATGCCTTCAAAGTAGTTATCCCTAACTAGCACGAACAACTATAACTTTTCAAGCATTTTGTTTACTTTCCCCCACTTTTTGTAGGAGAATAAAATTCTGAAGTTTTTGGGCTTTATGTGGAACCCCCTTTCATGGGTGATGGAAGCAGCAGCAATCATGGCTCTTTTTCTTCCTCATGGAAAGGTTGGTTTAAACTTTACCTATAACAGTTTTTGCTTTTGTCCTCCAAAAAGCAGTAGCTGAGCCGATCAGTAAATACACAAACATAAACTTTTGAAGTAGATAAGAGAAAGATACATATTTTTCAATGAACTCACTTTTCATTAAAAAAAAAAAAAAACAGTGTTGATGTGCTGGGCAAGTAAGGGGTCGTTTACCAAAATGGAAAAATGGAGGATTTTCTGGAAAAACAGAGAATTGGAGGGGTGGAAGAATGGAAAATGGAAAACTTGTTTACCAAAATTCTCTTTCCAAATCCTTATTCCATCTCCATTTTTCCACTTCATGTACAATTTTGGAGAAAAGAAATTTGGATCTCTCCAAATGGAGGGATGGGAGGAGACACGGGTGAACAGTGCACTTGGAGCAAAGGTCGCCAGTTCGAGTCCTGCAATGTGCAAAGCCTTTGCTTCAATTTTTGTTTGCCCAATTACACTTCAATTTTTGTTTGCCCAATTATGCTTCTGTTTTTGTTTGCCCAGTAGTTATTATTATTATTATTATTATTATTATTATTATTATTATTATTATTATTATTATTCCATTTTTTCCTTTTTTCTCATTCTTATGCACACATATTTTTTGTTGTTGTTGTTGTTGTTGTTGTTGTTGTTATTATTATTATTATTATTATTATTATTATTATTATTATTATTGTAGAAATATAAAAATGCTATATGGGATGATCATATTTAATAAAATCAGAAAATTAGAGAAATGGGAATGAAAATTGGAAAATTGGAGAAATGGAAAACTGGAAGAATAGAGAAAGAAAACTGGAGAAATGGAAAAATGGAAAACTGGAAATGGAAAAACAGAAAAACGAAGTAAACGACCCCTAAAAGTCTAGGGGTAGTATTAATAGACTTTTTAAAACCTTTTAAGTAAATGAGATTTATCAAAGTAATTTGCAGCCTTAAACTTGTGAAGTTTGCTTGTAGCTAGGGGTGTTAGCGAACAGAGCTTTCTATAAGCTACTCGTGTTCGTGTTCGGTAAACGTTCGTTTATGTTCGTTTATTAAGGTAAACGAACATAAATGAACAAATTTTTAGAGCTCGGTAACGAACAAAGTCTGAACAGTTGTAGGCTCGATCGTTTGTTAAGAGCTCGTGAGCAAGCTCGTTTGTGTTCATTTAATAATGTTCATCAACAAGCTCGTTTGTGTTCGTTTAATAATGTTCATGAACAAGCTCGTTTACTGTTCGTTTAATAATGTCCACACACACACACACACACACACACAGACACACACACACACACACACACACACACACACACACATATATATATATATATATATATATATATATATATATATATATAAATATAATTCTACAAGGGCAATAAAGTAATTTAAGGCCATCTCATTCATTGTAGTTGTGTTGTTTGTTTGGCTATTGTTCGTGAACGTAGATTATTTTTTGTTCACGAATGAATTGTGATGATGAACATGTGCAGGTGTATGTTTGGTTATTAAGTGTTCACAAACGTGTTCATGAACGTACGAACATGTTTATGAACGTAAACGAACATGTTCGTAAACGTGTTCGTTAACGTTAAACGTGTTCGCGAACATTAACAAACACTAATGAACGCTTAACAAACAAACACGAACAGAATTTTCAAAAATCTTAACAAACGAACACGAACATGAACACTCCAAAATTCTTAACAAACGAACACGAACAACCTCTGTTCGTTTATGTTCGGTTCGTTAACAGCCCTACTTGTAGCTTGATTTGGGTTTGCTTTGTAAGTGTATGAAAATCTGTGTGATTTGGATCGATTAGTAAGCAAAGTAAAGAAAGTAATTAGCTGAGATAAGTTGAGACAATATTTTTATAGTGATTCGAAAACTCCATACTCCATTCTTTTCCTTTTAACCCAAAGGAGGATTTCACTAGTACAATACAAATACAAGTGAAATGAAGTTTTTCAGACTAATTGCAAACAAAGATAACTAAGTTTCTTGTTATCTCATTGACAATCCTTGGGGTGTCTTTCTAGCTACACAAAGCTGCCCGCCCGTTCTTCATTGCTTGATCTTCCAGTTCTATGGGTTGTCCACCAAGTCGCCTTGAGTGAAGAACACCAACCTTCTGACAAAGAAAAAGGTTTTTGTCTTAAGGGATGGTTGGACATAATCTAGACAATTATATTCTTTGAAGCTTAGAATGCTTGGAAAGCTTTTGATGGCATGTACAGTCGTTAACTCTCTTAATACTTGAATTTTTAAGCTTCAGGATGGCTCTATTTATAGAGTTGGGAGTGCCAAAATTTCAAATATGCTTTGAACTATCAACTATCCATTGTAACTCTACGAAATGGTAGGTGTCCAAAGGCTGTCATCTCATCCTTTGACGTTGCACGTCATTGACTCTTGGGTATAAAGTATTATTTTTTTCTCCAAAAGTAACTTTGCAGCTTTTCAAAACTTGTCTCGCTATCATGAGTCTTGAAAAACGTGCCCAACAACTCTTTCTTCAGCAAACATTCTTTATCTTTCATACTTAACTCTTACATAGTACTTCAGTCCAATAGACCTTGGATCAATTACCTTGAGAAGATATGTCGTGCCCCGATCAATACCCATTTTCTCACACTCCCTCACTCTACTCTGATACTGTGTAAAGAAGGTAATCGTAGTGTATTACTGTGTATCGACAGAATATGCAAAAGACCTATTTATACAAGTTAATGAAGAATAATAACCACTTAATTTGAATTCTAAATGAGTAGTTAAGAGTAAATCTCTCAACTCCTGTCGACAATCTCTAATAGGGAGGTTAGCTTTTTAGGGTCTGTCGAATGTGTTAGAGTAAAGAAACAGGGAAAACAAAAGAGGATAAAGAAGAGAGTTTTTTTTATTGAATATGAAGAAAAGACAAGGCTGCCAACAAATGACACCTCCAGCAAGAACTTCAAGTTCATGCCGAGCTACTAGAGCTCAAAGGATATTTAGAATAGATGATTCAATGCCTACCTCTCACTAAGAGATTACATATAGTGTCAGGAAGTGAACAAATAAGGGAAAAGGAGAGGATTGTGAGACTGATTTATTTATGTTAAATCCCATGATTTAAGCTTTCCCACTGATATGAGCATTTGCTATCTGATTAGCTTGATTTGTTGTCCCAATTTCTTGATTTCCATTCTTGTGTTGAGTACTTGAGTTCCTCTTCTGTGTGAGTAAACCATCCATATCTTTGGGTTTGTATCAGAATGACCCTAAGTCATTGGATGGGGCTTGAGCCATTTTACTATCCCAGTCTTCTAGATAATCAAATGGAGTGCAAATAAATTGTTTTGGAGCACCAATTTTTAAAAGATTTAATTTTTGAAGATTTTAGTGCTTCCGAGAAGGCTTATTATAAGTCTTGGGATGCCTTGGATCACTGTGTATGGGTTTAGGCATGTGATAAGCCATATTCCGTTATCATTAGTAGGAAATAGCCTAACAACACCCTTCAATGATGCTAACCTCTATGCTCAACCGGAGTTGATACATGGGTATGTTGTTCTTCAATGATGCTAACCTCTATGCTCAACCGGAGTTGATACATGGGTATGTTCCACAACATCTACCGGTTGTGGATTAGTTTCCCTAATGAAAACCAGCCCGATTTTTTGTGGTGACTAAGAAGATGAGAGATTAAAACCAAGTCTAGTTCGATTTACATGCCAATAAGCTTCTTTGATTTCCCTTGATGTGCACTCCTCTTTAAGCCTTTTATTTTTTGCCTTAAGATTATTTAACTACTCAGTAACACTATCAAGGTTTTTAAGTTCCTCAGTCGCACGAGAGTTATCACTTTTGAGTTGGCAGTTCTTCACCTTAAGAGTTTCATACTCCTTTTGGATCTCATCTAATTTGTTCAACATTACTAGGAATGTATCATGGCGATCCCAGAAAAGCATCAATTCAATTATAACTAGAAGAAGTAGATGTTACATCTTCATTTGGATCGTTGCCGTAAGGCATTTGGAGTTGATCTCCTCCATTCAGCTGAACTTTGCACTACGTCCAGTAGATCTACTTGTCTTTGAATCTGCTGATGAGTTAGAAGAATCTTCCAAAGAATTCTCTTCCAGTTTAACAAGTATGCAAATGAGAATTTCTCCTTCTAAATGAACTCTCTTCCGGTGATTCCTCGATGACAAGTGTCTTTCTTCAATTCGCTCTCTCTTTCCATCTTTTCTTCAAGCAAACCTTTTTGATTTCTTTCATTCCTCTTTCTTTTCATGTTTCTCTTCTTCCACCAAGTAAGGACAACCTGCCTTAAAATGACCTGGTTTCCTGCAATTATAACAAACATGCCCAGAGGTATCTTTCGAATCTTTTGTTTTTCCTTACCTTTGAATCGGAACATGATCTATGTCTTCTTGAGTTTCTCTGAACTTGAGAATGAAACTTCTTGAGTAGCAAAGCCATCCCTTCTTCCATTTCATTTGATCAAGATATGTTCAGTCCGATTAGTCACTTCATTGTGCAAAGTGCAAACAATCGCTCTAATACCACATGTTGGTCTTGGGCAAGAAAAAGTCTAGGGCAGGGGAGGTGGGTGGGTGTTGATTAGACGTTTTAGAACTTTTAAAAACTTTTTAAGTAAATAAAAATATAAAATTTATCAAAGTAATTTGCAGCGGAAGTCTTAAACATGCCAAAGTTTGTATGTAGCTTGATTTGGGTTTGCTTTGTAAGTGTACAAAAAATGTGTGTGTGATTTGGATTGAATAGCAAGCAAAGTAAAGACTAAAGAGAATAAGGGAAGACTTAAACTTGCCAAAGTTTGTTTGTAGCTCGATTTAGGTTTGCTTTGTAAGTGTACAAAAAATGTGTGTGATTTGGATCAATTAGCAAGCAAAGTAAAGAGAGTAAGGGAAGAGAAATTGTGAAAATATTTTTATAGTGGTTCGGGAACTCCCTACTCCACTCTTCTTCTTTTAACCTTGAGAAGGATTTCACTAGTACAATAGATGGAAGAGAAATGAAGTCTTTCACACTAGTTGCAAACAAAGCCAACTAGGTTACTTAATATCTCCTTGAGAGTCCTTGGAACGGCTTTCTAAACAAAGCTGCCCATTCTTCAGTACCTGATCCTTGAGTGAAGATCACCAACCTTTTAACAATTTTTCTAAAGAGACGGGTGGGAAAATCTAGATGATTTTTTTGAAGCTTAGAATGCTTGGAAAGCTTTTGATGGCTTGTGTACTCGTTAACTCTTGTAATACTTCATGTTTTTAAGCTTAGGGGGGCCCTATTTATAAAGCTGGGAGTGTCAAAAATTCAAACAAAATACTTGCAACATAAATTTGGGATACTAAATTCCTTAACTTTACACAATATTAATATTATCAAAATCTAAACAACATTATTCCTAACACTATTTTAGAAAATGCCATCATTTGGGCCCCAAAAAAACACTATAATGAAAAATACATGTCTTAAGACCATATGGGCTCATGAGTTACTCATAGATGATTGATTTGGGTGACAGAATAAGGGAACTGATTACCAAGATTTTGTTGGTATTATTGGGTTACTTATCATCAACTCAACCATTAGTTTCATAGAGGAGAATAATGCTGGAAATGCAGCTGCAGCTCTCATGGCTCGGTTGGCCCCTAAAGCAAAGGTCAGCCTTAACATTGAACTCATTTGTTATTATGAATGGATGCTCAAGCTTAAGTTGGTGGGGTTTTAAAATTCTAATGCTGTTTATCAGGTTTTACGTGATGGGAAATGGAATGAAGAAGATGCTTCAATTCTGGTTCCTGGGGACATTATTAGTATAAAACTTGGAGATATAATTCCAGCTGATGCGCGGCTACTTCAGGGAGATCCTTTGAAGATTGATCAGGTAAAGTTATTTGTGAAAGTCACTGGCAAACTTCTTGTTGAACTGGTTCAAACTAATGTTTTGGTTTCTAAGAAGGCTCTTTCTTTCTGCAGTCCGCCCTTACGGGAGAATCTCTTCCAGTAACCAAGAACCCTGGTGATGGGATTTATTCTGGTTCAACATGCAAGCAAGGTGAAATTGAAGCTGTTGTTATAGCAACTGGAGTGCACACCTTTTTTGGGAAGGCAGCACATCTTGTGGAAAACACTACACATATTGGACATTTTCAGAAGGTTAGTTTCAAAAAGTTCATTTTCTCTCTACTAATTAGGGTACTATAGAGGACATAAATTCACAATATGGTTCACTGATGTGCATACACCAGCAGAATCTAACAGCATCCCAGTTAACAAAGATGGCATTCTTGTCTTGACGCTTTTAGGTTTTGACTGCAATTGGTAACTTTTGCATTTGCTCCATCGCAATTGGCATGGTGATCGAAGTGATTGTGATATTTGGGCTCCAACATAAGAAACTACGTGAAGCTATAGACAGTCTTCTGGTTCTGTTGATTGGTGGCATCCCCATTGCTATGCCTACAGTGCTCTCTGTAACCATGGCAATCGGTTCCCATCGCTTGTCCCAGCAGGTTTGTGAATCAACTGCTAGTAATCAATTGTGAATGTGTAACTATTCTTCCCATTAATAAACGAAAATTTTTGGATGAGTAAAGGAACTGAGTAACAGTTAATATACCACTTGCAGGGTGCTATAACAAAAAGAATGACAGCTATTGAGGAAATGGCTGGTATGGATGTGTTATGCAGTGATAAAACTGGCACTCTTACTCTCAACAAGCTAACAGTGGACAAAACTTTAATTGAGGTGATATTTTAGCCAAGTTACTACTATTTTATTCAAAAAACTTGTATAGGAATCAGAGTTGAAAACAATAGCTGATTGCAATTAGGGATGAGCACATAGTAAAGTAGTAGCTTAAAATAAAAGAAACAAATATATTCAAATTGCCTATTCATTGGCGCTCGCATATGAATAGTATTTGTTGAATTTGGAAGATGGAATGGCCTGACGGGTGGTTAACACCACCCCCAGTTAGGCGGAAGCAATGATGAAGAATCAAAGAATAGAAAATGTATATAAGACTGAAATATATTAGTATTATCTGTGTTTCTAATAAAGAAACATAGTACACACACACACACATATATATATATATATATACAAACACATAACTGTAAGTAACTACCCATAACTGACACCTATTCATAAACAGACACAACCCTATAGATAAACCTAACTCTTTATTTTTCAAGTATTAAACAAATTTTGGGAAAACTACCCCAGTAAGGGAAACAAATGTGGGATTAATGACTTTGTAATTGTAGAGTATAATTGTTATTGCAGGTTTTTGCCAAAGATGTTGAAAAAGATGCGGTAGTTTTGATGGCTGCCCGAGCTTCAAGGTTAGAAAACCAAGATGCAATTGACACTGCAATTGTATCCATGCTGGCTGATCCTAAGGAGGTATTGGATGTTTTACTGATATCACTTTCATAGCTTTTGCTTCTAGAACTTTTATCTTCTACATATTATTGTAGTAAAGATCATTAATGACCTCGCTTTTGGATGATGCCTTACTTAGCCGATAACATAGTACTACATGCAACTTGTTATGGCTTTGTTTATTGTCAGTGTTATTCCATATTGCATACTCTTTCTGATGGTTTATTTGTTTGGTCCGGATAAGGCACGAGCTGGAATTACAGAAGTCCACTTCCTGCCGTTCAATCCAACTGACAAGAGGACAGCTCTTACTTACATTGACAGCAAGGGTAAAATGCACAGAGTGAGCAAAGGTGCACCGGAGCAGGTATAGATTGTGAATTTATGATCGTAAACTTTATGATGGTGTGGAAATGATTGTATAACTGAAAAGGCCTCGTGAAACCCTTATTGAAAATTACAGATTCTAAACCTGGCATGGAACAAATCAGAGATTGAGAGTAGAGTGCATTCAATAATAGATAAGTTTGCTGAGCGTGGGCTTCGGGCACTTGCAGTTGCTCGCCAGGTAGTATGATTTTCAGTCAGACGCTTTTTCTGATTCTCTTGCCTTGAAATGAGGAGTTTGATCTCAGATCTCCCTTGCAGCAAGTACCCGAAGGTACTAAGCAAAGTGTTGGTGGCCCTTGGGAATTTGTTGGTCTCCTCCCTCTTTTTGACCCTCCTCGCCATGACAGCGCTGAAACAATAAGAAGAGCTCTAGATCTTGGTGTTAGTGTTAAGATGATTACAGGGGACCAATTAGCAATTGCTAAAGAAACAGGGAGACGCCTTGGAATGGGCACAAACATGTACCCTTCGTCAGTTCTTCTTGGAGAAAGCAATGATGCTGCTTTATGTTCAGCTCTACCAGTTGAAGAGCTTATTGAGAAAGCTGATGGTTTTGCTGGTGTCTTCCCTGGTAATGGAATTATTTCAAAACCCTTCTTCTTCTTGTATCCTTTAATTTTTTGTTATCATAATCTAATTCTAGACTTTTTTCCTTGCAGAGCACAAGTATGAAATCGTGAAGATATTGCAAAGCAGGAAACACATTTGTGGAATGACGGGCGATGGAGTTAATGATGCCCCTGCATTGAAGAAAGCTGACATTGGAATTGCGGTGGCAGACTCAACAGATGCCGCCCGAAGTGCATCAGATATAGTTCTAACTGAGCCAGGGCTTAGTGTAATTATTAGTGCCGTCTTAACTAGTCGTGCCATCTTCCAGAGAATGAAAAACTACACAGTAATTAACATTCCTATCCTCCAAAACCTCAAATTTCTTACTTTCCTTTTTATTATACTGAAAAACATTCTTGTTTTCTTCAGATATATGCAGTATCAATCACAATTCGTATTGTGGTAAGCCACTTGTTATTATCTCACATGCGTGCCATCCTTAATTTCACAATCAGCTTCTTCCTGAAATACGTTTTCTGTAGAACTGATCCATTTTAGTTGTAATGGTGGATCATAACAGTTGGGTTTCATGCTGCTAAGAGCATTTTGGAAATTCAACTTTCCTCCTTTTATGGTTCTTGTCATTGCTATTCTTAACGATGGTAAGAGCTCAGCTATTGGGTCTAAGATGAGTAGATTACCTTGATATATCCAAGTTTTTTGTGTTATTGTTTGCAGGGACTATCATGACTATATCCAAAGATAGGGTGAAGCCATCACCACTTCCAGATAGTTGGAAGCTCAATGAAATTTTTGCAACGGGGATTGTCATAGGAAGCTACCTTGGTCTTATGACTGTCATGTTTTTCTATTTGACTTATGAAACCAGCTTTTTCTCGGTATTTAATTTCCCCTCTAGTAATCTGTCATTTTCTAGTCACCATCTTCCCTATTAACTTTATCTAATCGCTTGAGATTTTCTTTCCAGAAAACCTTCCATGTAACTGATTTCAGTAAAGGTTCGAATGATCTCAACGATCAATGGGCTGTGGAATCTCTAAATAAGAAGCTAGCTTCTGCAGTGTATCTTCAAGTTAGCACCATCAGCCAAGCTTTGATCTTTGTCACACGTTCTAGAGGGTGGTCTTTTAAAGAACGACCCGGCCTTCTTCTTGTCGCTGCTTTTATCATTGCTCAGTTGGTAAGTGTTAAGAGTCCCACATTATAAAGAAATAAAAAGAGAGAACATATGGGTTTATAAGGCCATGGGTTAGACTAGCTAATTGGTTGGATTCAATCTTTTAGTGTGGTTTGGCCCATGTGCATTATAGCCCAGTTGAGTGACCCTAGCCCAATCTTTGTTCATAACAGTAAGGTTTTAGTGTTTTAGTTCTGAAACACAGAAACCATGGCTGTATTTTTGTTCTTCTCTTGTTGACAGGTTGCAACTCTTCTATCAGCCATGGTTACACCGCCAAGTTTTGCTGGGATTGAGAAGATCGGGTGGCGCTGGACTGCTGTTATTTGGTTATACAACATTGTCACCTATTTTCTGCTCGATCCAATCAAGTTTGGAGTTCGCTATGCCCTTAGTGGGAAAGCTTGGGGACTCCTACTAAACCAGAAGGTAAAAAAAAATCATACTCACACTGTTTCTTATTTGAAGTATTGCTTACAACGCGTTCGTTCTGCATTTCTTCTGTCACCAGACGGCCTTCTCCACCCAGAAGGACTTCGGGAAAGAAGTGCGCGAGGCAGCCTGGGCAGCTGAACAGAGAACACTCCACGGCCTTCAACCCCCGAAAGCAAAAATGTTCAGCGAGAATCACGGTTTCACAGAGATCAGCATGTTGGCTGAGGAAGCAAAGCGGCGTGCAGAGATTGCAAGGTGTTTAGTATGTTAAAGTTTTTGTTGTGCCATTTGTGACTATGTGCATATATTTAATGCTATATCATTGTGGTTATTACAGGCTAAGGGAACTTCACACACTGAAGGGCAGGGTGGAGTCATTTGCAAAGCTGAGAGAGTTAGACATTGAAAATGTGAATCCACATTACACTGTCTGAAGCTAAGTCTGATGCAGATGCAGCCATCTTTGAAGTGATTTTTTATCTTCATATATTCTAATAAAAATCTCCCCACAACCCCTTTTTCTATGGTCTATGATCTCACTGTGCAAAACCGCGCAGTCTCTGGTGTTGTTGTTCTTCTTTTGTTGCTATTTCATTTCATTTCATTAGGCTCATTGCTGAGCTGCAGAAGGTGCTTTAATGGAGACAATAATGCAGTCAATGCACCATTTTGAAAACTGTCTTGGTTTTTTTTTTTTTTTTTTTTTTTTTTTTTTTAGATGACGAGGGAAATCTGTAGCCACTATCTAAAGGTGTGCACTACATAAAATCCGTCTTGTAAGTCTAACCGGCAAAAGACCACATGGAGGTAAACTAACCTAAGTTGTTCATAGTTGATCGGTTTAAGTCAATAAAGCCAATATGCTATTCCTATTCGGACTTGAATTTGGAAGCATATGGTTACCAATCTAATGAGGGATTACCTCCAAATTGTCTTAGTTTATTGTTTACTTGAGCTGAAAGGCAAAAAGATGAAATAAATTGAATAGTGAAATGCTAAAGAGAAAAGAAAAGAAAATAAAGTAATATATTTAATTTAATTAACTATAAGAAAAATGACTATTTATGGTGAAGGATTAAAATGGCCACCAAATAAATAATATAAGAATTAAACACATATATTAATGAACGAGTTAAGCGGTGGGAATGAAGAAAATATTTGTTCAGAGAGGATGACAAACATATATAAACAAGAAAATATTTGTTCAGAGGGGATGACAAACATATATAAACAAGGAGATTAGCGAGAAAGGGAGGTTATAAGCTATTTTACTCCACTGCCCCTCAACTTGGTGAGCTTCTCCACGTGTTGCATGCTCCAATACCCCCTGTAAGCTGGAGCGTGTAGGTCTTGAATGCCCAGCTTAGAGAGGAACAAGTGAAATTGTGCCGTAGGAAGAGCCTTAGTGAAACCATCGGCAACTTGGTTTGAGGAAGAGATGGACAGGAGTTTAACAAGACCTTGCGTTAACTTCTCCCGAATAATATGACAATCTATTTCTATATGCTTGGTTGTCTCATGAAATACAGAGTTTTCGGCGATGGCAACAACGGATTTATTATCACAGAAGACAGCGGTAGGTCTACTCAGTTCTACTTGCAAGTCTTTGAGGAGATAGTTGAGCCATTGCACTTCACAAACTACAGCAGCAAGAGCACGATATTCTGCTTCGGATGACGAACGAGAAACCGTAGCTTGCTTCTTTGATCTCCATGAGATAAGAGCTGAGTCTAGGAAAACACAAAAGCTTGTGATTGACTTACGTGTTGTCGAACAAGTCGCCCAATCCGAGTCAGAGAACACATTGAGCTGCATGTCTCCATTCTGTGGGTAGAAAATACCTTGGCCGGGTGTAGCTTTGATGTAGCGTAACACTCTGTGAGTAGAAGACATGTGTCCATTGGTAGGGGAATCAACGAATTGACTTAGTTGTTGCACAGCAAAAGATATCTCAGGTCGAGTTGCCGTGAGGTAAAGCAGATGAACTATCAACCTTCTATAACTTGCGACATCAGTTACTGCTTCACCACCATCTTTGTCTAACCGGTGTCCTGAGACCATGGGGGTGCTAACCGGTTTAGAGTCAAGAAATCCAGCCTCTATTAGAATGTCTAAAGCAAATTTATGCTGACATAAATTCAAGCATGTACTAGTCATATGAGCTTCAATACCAAGAAAATAGCCATGATTGCTCAAGTCTTTGATCTTGAATGTGTCATCAAGATATGTTTTGAGTTCTCGAATGAGGCTAATGGATGGGCTACTGACAAAGATGTCATCCACATATACGAGAATGGCCAAAAAATTCATACCATTTCCATTGATAAACAGAGAAGGATCTGCCTTTGATTGATGAAATCCCATGCGTATGAGAGCAGTGCACAAAGTTTTGCGTTTCACTGTCGGCTTGCATGTTTTAAGCCATACAGTGAACGTAGAAGCCTACATACTTGATTGGGTCTTTCTCCTTTGAAACCAGGGGGCAAGACCATGTACACTTCTTCGTTTAAATGGCCATGAAGAAAGGCGTTGTTGATATCCAATTGATGAATGTGCCAAGCTCGGGAAGTAGCCACTACCAAGAAGGTTCGGATGATAGTGATGCGGGCTACGGGTGAGAATGTTTCGATATAGTCAATCCCCAGTTGTTGCGTGTAGCCTTTAGCTACTAACCTCGCCTTGTACCTTTCAACTGAGCCATCCGCCTTAAGCTTGACTTTGTACACCCATTTGCATCCTATGGGTGTTTTGCCAAGAGGTAAATCTGCTAGTTCCCAGGAGGCATTTTCTTGAAGAGCTTTAATTTCAGCATCCATGGCCTTCTTCCAACATTCGTGTTGTATGGCCTCACTGTAGGTCTATGCTTCTTCCCAATCACACAAATCTCACAGATACGATCAACGAAACTCACAACAGGTAAATCAGAAACAAGTTTCTTTCTCGCAAGATAGTTTAACCCAGAGAAATGAAAATGCTCAAACCGCATATGCCATAACCAATTATCATCAAACACTTCATAATTAAAGCAAGCAAGGAGAGTATGCTTAATTTTCAAAGGAAATAGTCGATTTTAGGATATATTTACCTTTGCAATCAAGACTCCTTTTTTAGCATCTGCAATGGTACAACACCCCTGAGTAATATTTATCTTATACTCCCTCTGTCCCGAAAAGGCTGTCTGGTTTACTTTTGGCACAAATTTTTAGATGGTTAAACAAAGCTCACTCTTTTTCCACTTATGCCCTTTTACTTACTGACAAATTGGCTACAGTACATTTCTTCCTCATTCTTCATCTATGTGCAGACATTTATTCATCTTTCTTCAACAAACCCACTTCTTCATCTTTTTCTAACAAATCAACCATACCTTCTGTATCTATTATTCTTCTTTTAGTTCTTTATACACCAGTAATTATACAAAAATAAATAAACTTAAGAAGGGGAAGATAAAAAACGAAAAAAAAAAAAAAAAAAAAAAAAAAAAGAAGACAAAAACTAGTGGTGTTTACAAATAGATGGAGTTATAAAAATCTGAAACTTCATGAAAGTGATTGTAGATTAGGGTGGCAGTGCCAATTTAAGAGATGGTGAAGATTGCTACGCTATTGAAAGAGGATAATGTTTTTGTGGAGTCATACTAGCCCAACCTCTTCGCAAAACAATGTGAGAAAGAGGAAAATATAGGATCTCATCATGATCTGAACATGGGCGCTAGTGGCGGCGGCGGCGGAGTTGCTGTTACTGTTCCTGCTGCCGGCGATATTGCTACCCCGTAGCTGCTTCTCTGGCTACTAAGAAAAAGAACGAAGAACCAAAGGAAGAGAGCGACGAAGACATGGGATTCAGCTTGTTTCTTTAGAATGTAAGATTTACTAGTTTTGATAGATTTTTGCTTCTTGTTTCCGTCAAGTTTTGGAGTGAATGGTTTGTTTTACAAGATTCTTCATCTGTAGACTATGCCTATTCTTGAGTGGATTACAGCAGTGCATTTTTTTTTTTTAGAAGTGACAGATGTGCATATTATGTACCAATTGTGATAAAAGCTGAAAGGGCAAAGTTGGAAAATAAAAATATAATGATGTTTAATTTTAGAAAGTGGACAATATTTTGGGACGGACGAAAAAGGAAAGTAAGACAGGGAAAATGGGACGGAGGGAGTATCATTTTCTGACAACTGTCCCATGCTCAACAAATTTTTGTGTAGTTCAGGAACATAAAACACATCGGATATAAAATTGTGAGTACCATCCTTCAACTGAATAGAGATTATACCTTTTCCCAAAATTGGCACCTTTGACTTATTGTCAAATGTCACTTCAGACCGAACTGATTCATCCAGTTCAGAAAACAATTCTTTCTTCCCACACATATGGTTACTACACCCAGTATCCAAGAGCCATATGTTCTTATCTGCTGAAAAACTATCGCTGGCCAAAAGTAAGGTTTCAGAACTCTCACCAGACTTTTTAGTAGTGTTTTCAGCAATGTTTGCTTAATTTTCACGATTGTCCTCATTATACCAGTAATCTGCAATCTTGTGTCCATACTTGCCACAATTGTAGCAATGAAATTGAAATTTACCTTGTTTGGTATTACCTCCACCTCTTCCTTGGTAGTTACCACGTCCTCCTCCTTGGTTGAAGTTACCACAACCTCTTCCACTTGAACCTCCTCTTCCTCTTCCACGACCTCTACCAGATCCTCCACCTCTTTGATTAGTGCCAGTCACATTAAGGGTGACTGGACTCTTCAAAGCTTCTTCATCTAGTAGTTTCGATTTGACGCAATTCTGTCAATATGACTTTCTACCATACCTTTCAGCTCTGCAATTGATAAGAGCTCGGTTTTGTGTGACTCTGTTATTGAAGCCACCACATGGTCATACTTCATTGGCATAGTTCGTAGAACTTTTTCAACCACTGCACCATCTTCAATTGTATCTCCGTATAACCTCATCTTATTCATCATATCAATAAGACGAGTGAAATACGTATCTACTGTTTCTATAGAGGTCATCTCACAATTATCATACAGCCTTCTCAACGACTGCAACTTAGACTTCTGTGCCCGATCGACTCCTTTGTCTGACACCTTTAAGATGTCCCAAGCTTGCTTCGCTATTTGAGCACGAGCTAATTGCCCAAAAATGAAGTATTGAACACCTTGGTGAATCTGTCCCAATGCCAACTGATCTCGCCGTGTTTGGGCTGCATCAGCTCCTTCGGGTAGACCGGGATCAACAAAGCTCCAAAGATTTTGAGCTTTCAAATGTGTGGACATCATAATTTGTCAATAATTGTAATCAAATTTCCCGTCCAATTTGGGATCCGACCATACAATATTGAAATTTGCAGTCATATTTCACTACGGGAAATATCTCGGGGTTGAAAAGTTGATTGGCTCTGATACCAAAGGTTAGATATATTAAATATAATATATTTAATATAATATTATATATATATATATATATATATATATATATATATATATATATATATATATATATATATATATATATATATATATATATATATATATATATATATATATTTGAGAAGAGAGAGAGATGAATAAACAAATAATGTTTATTGCTAGGATGATTAACAAATGAACAAAAGCCACATATTTATACTAAAGGAAAGCTAATAATTAGGGAACTAATGATCCATGTACTGCTATAATCTAGGCCACTTTCACATTAACTAATCCCATACATGACACACCACACACCCATGTTTATTTACTGCATTAGTTAGACTTGGTTTAATTAATAATAATAATATTATTATTATAACACACAAGTATTTTCACCCGTGCGATGCACGGAATGAAATTATTGTAATATATTAAGAATATTTAAATCGATATATAATTATTTAAGAGTTAATTTCACCAGAGGTCGCTTATCTTTCCTGACAATTCCAAATTTAATTCTAGACTATAGTTATTAATTATTATGATTTATTCTATGTTATAATTCTTAAGTTAATATTCTTACTATTATTATTAAGACTTAATTACTTTTAGATATTATTATTACAACTTATATTATTATTATTATTATTATTATTATTATTATTATTATTATTATTAGTTTCTTTTCAAGTTCTGTTAGTATATAATGACCGTGAGGCACAATAATAATATAACCATAATTAAATATTCTTGTATTGTATTCCGTGAGTCACAATAATAATATAACAATAATTACATATTCTTCAATTCTATATTCTTCTAGGATTTCTATTACCATCATTAATTATTCCCTAATTTACCATAATTAAATAATTTGACCAATTATAAAGAAAGATTGTTAAATAATGCACGGGACAATTTTTAAATAAAAAATTTTAAAAATTTATTAATAAAATATAATGTTCTCATAGTTTTTTCTTAGAAATTATTTAATAAAGCATATTTTTTAAAAATTGGTGGGCCAAACCGCCTACGGCAGTTTGCGGTGGATAGATCTCGAAAAAATACGCGATTTCAAAAAAATATTTATCCAAAACGGACAACTGAGTCAAAAGTTATGTCGTGCCGAAGTTTTGACACATTACAACTTTTAAAAAAAAAAAAAAAAATTAATCACTGGTTCACCCGGCGAGGTGGCCACGGAAGAGGCCGATTCCAGACTTCATCGCCGCGGCCAGCGGCGCAATTTTTGCAACACTGATATATAGTATAGATATAGATTAGAATAGGAATAATATTACACAATTTTATAATATTAGAATAGAATTTTTACGCAGAATTATTGTACGAATGGGAAAATAGAAATCAATATATTTTATTAGGAAGAGAGATTTTTTAGGAATTGGGCGGGAAGTTAAAATTTCAGGATTTTGTTATTATATATAGTATAGATAGATTGATTGATTACAATAGGAATTGTATTACACTATTTTATAATATTATAATAGAATTTTAACGCAGAATTATTGCACGAATGAGAAAACAGAAATCAATATATTTTATTAGGAAGAGAGATTTTTTAGGAATTGGGCGGGAAGTTAAAATTTCAGGGTTTTGTTATTATATATAGTATAGATTGATTGATTACAATAGGAATTGTACACAATTTTATAATATTAGAATAGAATTTTAAATTATTGTACGAATGGGAAAATAGAAATCAATATATTTTATTAGGAAGATAGATTTTTTAGGAATTGGGCGGAAAGTTAAAATTTCAGGATTTTGTTGTTATATATAGTATAGATAGATTATATCAAATTCTTCGTCTCACTACGAAAAGTGCGAATCCACTTTGACCCGACCCAAATTGGAAGTGGACTCCACATATATTTGTACCACAAAATAGCCACTCAAAATTATCATTTTATGCTAAAAATTCCAACAAT